CAGTAGATTTAATTTAAATTCTGATTGTATTAGGGCAGCCGAAGGGGGGCGGAACAACTCACTTGTGTTCTTTTTGCATTCGTGAAGACTTTAAAGTTGCGACACTGCTTGCAGTGATCACTTCCAGGACCGGAACAACCACCGTGACATTCACTGTGGCAGGGCAAACAATGCTCCACTGTGTGGGCTGCCACAGACCCCGTGGAGTTTTCGAGTTCGTTGCCCGCTTCCATGCTGTGGTTCTTGAAGGAGAAGGTGTCTACATGTTTGAATAAACAGCAACACCTTGAAATCACGATATCGAAGAATACACTTTCCCAAAAATACTTTTCGTGAAGGTTCTAGGCAGCAAGCCACGAGGAACTTTGTTCATTTTGCGAAGTAAACAGGAAGGAACTCGGGTAGGAGTAAATCGTGGGGCCGCCTGGGGAACGTGCGAAGCGCGCCCCTTAGTCTTACGGGCTCCTGATTTTAGGGGAGAGGATAGGTGGTGCATGTCTGGGAGCAAATTAGATCGCAATAATCCTTAAAATAAAAAGGTTACGAGGGTAAGTTGGGGCGCGTACTCAAACCTCTGGCGGGAACACTGAAGTAAGCTTTAATATAATCGCTAACCCTCCACTGGACCAACGGCGAGCGCGTGTATGTCAAAGGAGTGTGCCCTGACCTCGGGCGAGGTCGTTGGGGAACATCACCTAGTAGTACCACTAACCACAACTTTGATAAAAGTCGAATGAATGAAGGTTTGAGGATTCAGGTTTTTAATCTCCAGAGAAATTAATTCCTGATCGCGGTATATATCAGTATATATAAGGTCTATAGGCGTAGACCGAAATCCTAAGTGTATATTTGTGTTGAAACCCGTCAACCCCTGTGAAATATACACATGTTAAGTGTACATTTGTGTTGAAACCCGTCAACTCCAATGAAATATACGCCTGCTGCCACAGGACACAGGTTTAAGGATTGTGTAATTCACCCTACCTAAAATTTGTTAATAAAAGATTATTCCCGTAGTCAACCCATTACCTCCCATAATTTTAACCACTTTCTTTTTTGTTATGAAACTTGGATACCTTTGACTTTTTCAAACTTGCATATAAATTAATTTAGAGCGGGTTTTTTTAAAAATCTCATGTGGATATCAGAGAAATATACCTAATAGATATAG